CGGAAGTTTTGCACACTAAACTTCCTTTGATCACCATGTCAGACGTAAACGAGCTTTTCAAGAACAACTTAGAAGTCAAAAAGAAACCCCGTGGTTACAACTCATTCGTGGCATCTAATAATAATCACACATATCAAATAGGTATATGTTTTCCACAGAAATTCAGGGGTGGTTTGGTCGCCACTGACGTTCTAAGTATATACGCGGTGGTAGTTCCTATTGAGAGTAAAGAAATTCCTGACGTCATAGCAGGAACCATGGAGGCACTACAGAAAATGGGAAAGAAACCCCAAATCATATACACTGACGACGAAGGGGCGGTTACCAGCAACGACTTTAGGCAGTATGTTGAAGACGAAGCAAAAAAGGCTTGGTGGTCAGAAAGAAATGTTCGTGGGTCCAAACGGAAGGATTGCGGGGGTCAAAAGAAAAAGACCGCGGGTCAGAAAGAACGGATTGCGGGGGTTAAAAAAGAAGGACCGTGGGTCAGAAAAAAAGGATTGATCACGGAATGCTGGGGAGTAAAAAAAGAAGGGTTGTGGGTCAGAAAAGAAGGGTTGGGGGTCAGAAAAGAAGGCCTATGGGTGAGAAAAGAAGGGTTGTGGGTCAGAAAAGAAGGGTTGTGGGTCAGAAAAGAAGGGTTGTGGGTCAGAAAAGAAGGGTTGTGGGTTAGAAAAGAAGGATTGCGGGGGTCAGAAAAGAAGGTTTGTGGGTCAGAAAAGAAGGGTTGTGGGTCAGAAAAGAAGGGCTGCGGGGGTCAGAAAAAAAGGTTTGTGGGTCAGAAAAGAAGGATTGTGGGTCAGAAAAGAAGGGTGCGGGGGTCAGAAAAGAAGGGTTGCGGGGGTCAGAAAAAAAGGTTTGTGGGTCAGAAAAGAAGGATTGCGGGTCAGAAAAGACGGGTTGTGGGTCAGAAAAGAAGGGTGCGGGGGTCAGAAAAAATGGGCTTGTGAAAGTATTGGATCACACGGACAGCACCGTCATTCAGATGAAGAAGAGAGGGATGCAGAAGGCTCTCGGTAGAGCGTGCCCGGGGTGTACGAGGTCACGCAACACGGGCTGCGGGTCCAACAGTTTTGCGGGGTCAAAGACAACAGCGCCGTGGGTTGGAAAAAAAGGCTTGGTGGTCAGAAAGAAAGGTTCGTGGGTCCAAACGGAAGGATTGCGGGGGTCAAAAGAAAAAGACCGCGGGTCAGAAAGAACGGATTGCGGGGGTCAAAAAAAAAGGACCGTGGGTCAGAAAAAAAGGATTGGTCACGGAATGCTGGGGAGTCAAAAAAGAAAGGTTGTGGGTCAAAAAAGAAGGGTTGGGGGTCAGAAAAGAAGGCCTGTGGGTCAGAAAAGAAGGGTTGTGGGTCAGAAAAGAAGGGTTGGGGGTCAGAAAAGAAGGCGTGTGGGTCAGAAAAGAAGGGTTGTGGGTCAGAAAAGAAGGGTTGTGGGTCAGAAAAAAAGGGGGGGTCAGAAAAAAAGGGTGCGCGGGTCAAAAAAAAAGGGAGCCCAATCATCATCACCTGATAGATCTGATAGGTTCGGGTGACAAAAGCTGACAAGCTGGACATTTAAAGGTCTCAGTTTCTGCATTGAAACCGTTGCCAAACAAGTGTCTTCTCTAATCAAAGAGGTTTTTCATGGTTTATCCATGATCGAAGCTTCCAACATCATCTCATCTCATCTCCTCTCCTGACTTCTTACATAATCACTTGCTTGAAGATCCGTGCCCCGAACCTCATATCGTCGAAACCCAAACGGACGTCCTTCTCGTCCAATCGGACTGAATCGGTCAGGCCTTTTTGAGGGACAACCAAAAAGCAGCGCCTGTCCCTGCGATCAATCTGAAGGGCTACAATGTCGTTGAACGGTGGTGAACACACTGCCAGTCTTCCTTCGACGGAGCAACTGGGGCACCCAGCAACTGAGCGTTGCATTTCGGAGCGATCGGGAGAGTCTCGGTGCTCCTGGCGGTGGTGTTCACCACTCGGAGATCCCGAGTTGTGGACTCATGATGACGTGGAAAGTATGTGACTCATATTTAGTTAGGACTATCATAGGTGAAATCATAATTAGGTCACGTCCAAGAAGAACTCACCGTCCGTGAAGGCATGAACACATGCTCCACTTCTGCGGGATCTACACTGTGAGTTCTTTGCACTTTGATTCTTCCAACCTCTGGTTCGATGAACCTCTATGACTCCATTAAAATCATTAGCAGAATTTAAGGCCCTAAGATGTGCGTGTGTCTAATAGGTTGAACATGGTTGAACATCAAGAAACTCTCGAGATGCTTTGGAGTACCAGACGCAGAAACCACAATCTTATGAACATCGCCGGTCTGCTACACTCGACCCTTTTCCCAAACCACCATCCAGATGTTGTATCTCTTCTAAACTACCTCACTATATATGTATATTAATATATATAATATATACATATATCAATTATATATCATATATCCTGAGATATTATAAATCTCCACTAGAGAACTGTATTGGAAACCGTGCCACTCTCCATTTGGGGACCACTACAGTGGCTCCTGACATCCCCTTGCGGCTCCTTGGACGCCGTGGATCGCTCCCGACCTCCGGTTGGATCGGTTGGATCGGTTGGGATCCGGATGACGGTGGATCAAACGGTGGAGACCCGGTGGTTGACGGGATCGATGGACTTGGGATCAACTTTTGGGGGTTCGTCGCATTTGATGTTGATGCCCTTTGGCGGACTATCTAACACACGCCCGTCCAACAGGACACTTGGAGCGGGCCTCTATCTTCAACTCTCAGAACGATCGCATCCTTTGACCCTCACACCCCTGGACTGCCGCAAGTTCAGCCCTTTTTCGGCATGGTCACCACTGCGCGAGCAGGTCCCACTGCCGCTCCCACACCCGGTCAATTTCGCTTGGATTGGTCAAAGCGGGGTTGGCAGGTGGATGCAGGTGGGCAGGTGGATGGAGGTGGGCAGGTGGGCCAATCTGCCTCACAAACAACCATTTGTTCTAGCAGCTGTCCCGAAAGAGGAAGGGAAGTATGAAGGGTGAATCACACGTAAGCGAGCACGCTGCAGTAATGCGACGTTCAGCACTTGTTCAGGTGTTAGAAGATGGACCTGGATCTCATCTCACAAGGATTCGTTGATCAGCCGTTGAGTTGGTTACCTCATGTTACCTCGGCGTTTGTCTCGACAAACCCTGGCTCTTGTCCGCCTGGTTGTTTTGATACCGTGTTTCCCACAGCAGTTCCCACAGCCTCAACAGCACCAAAATAATGCATGTCTAGGCTTTCGCTTTTGAGGCGGAGTTGCTCGAAACCCAGCCTTCTTAACGCCCTCTTAATTGGTTTAGGTGGTTCAAATACGTCACCCGACCAAGACCTCCCAAATCCATTCTTGGGTTGGAACTCATCTTGGGCAGCCACGGCATCGGCTCCACTGACATCTGACGTCACTGAGGTGCAAAACCATCCATCAATGGGTGGGTAGCAGGAGGGTCTTTGAAGCCTCACGGACCGCTGCCTGAGGCCCCAGCTTCGCTCCTTGCTGCGGCCCTTGCGACTGCGCGATGGCCCTTGGCTTCGCTCCTTCCGCCGATGAGGTCGGCTGGACTCCTGCAGGCCCATGGGGGGTCTGTTCGGCCCGGGCTGGACCAGCGGACTTTCTCAGCTTCTCAGGAAGAGGATCTGCTGCTCACAGCTCTCCTTGTAAGGGGAAAACGAAACAAGCCATGGCAATCCACGGCACTCCTTCACTTGGTGCAACCGTCCTCGCAAGTTAGGCTAAGGAACATCCCAAAATCCACCTAACAATTCTTGGGATCGACATTGAACAAAGGCTGCAGGCCAAGCACCTTGCGACCTACCCAACAAGCCTGCGGCGCTGCAGGAAGCTGCCCTGGCAGGCCAAAAGTCACAAGCAACAAAGAGTCTTCCTTAAATCAGCCAAGTATGGAAACAAATCGAACAAATTAACCGTGAATGCCCTCAAAGTTCTCAACATGTTCTGATGTTGGATGATGTTGTTGTTGTTGTTGTTTTCAGTTCTTAAAAACCTCGGTCTCACCCATCACTGTCACTGGCCACTGATACTCCGCAGCTCTGCCGGCTTGGTTTGTGAAAGATCAAAAGCAAAACACTGAAGAAAAAACAACAACAAAACTGTCCGGGAAAAAAGACAACAAAACAACCAAACATTCCACAACATATTATATCAAAAAACATTAAACAACTATCAGTTCCCTCTTCTCTTTCATGACCCTTCCATGACCCAGGTGGGATATGGTGGGATCTTGGCAATAGGCTCTACTCACTGGGTAAATCTTCTCAACCCAGACCTACCATCACTACTTCAAGAATCCTAAAGTTTAAGCTTCTTACTCTGTTCCAACATGACACTTGCCACGTCCATTTTGCCTGGCAGGTACAGCACGGTCAGATTTCCACACCCGTTTAAATTTACAATACTTATAAGGCTTTCAGGTGTGGAAATCTGACCGCAACTTAGGTGTCGACATGTTGCAGGTAGGATTCTATTCTAAGGGGAAAGGGTTTGTCCCGTTTTAGAAGTCAAGAAGCGCAACTTTCGGCACCCCAGCGTATACGATCGAGAAAAAGAGCAACTGGTGAGCAGATGGTGAAACAAATTGAAAAAGGAGGAACGGCAAACGCCTTGATATCTGTCGAGGACTCAACAACAGCGCTTTTGGATTCGCGACGACCCGTGGAGCCACAACGTGGGTCCTGCCGGTACTCAGCAGCCGGGGCAGTCCGATATCTTTTGATCGGGTTTCTTCGCTGGTTCGGTTCATCTCAGTACAGAAGGTCACCGGACAGCACGACCACATAGACAAAGGATGAAACAGGATGAAACAGGAACTTGTGCTTTGACTCTTGTAAATGTTCCATTTATCGAGAGTATCGAACGTACGATCAAAGTCCGGGGGGCCATGTCGGTATCTCAGGCCCTCCGCAGGCCTGTTGTGGCTGTGTTGGGACCTCCCTGACCAAACCACCTGGTCAGGGCCCCTGCACGCCCCGCAGGTCTCCCGCGAATCCGCTTGCGCCTGGCAGATGTGGCCGTACGTGGGGCTCCGGCACGTGCGTGCCTGGCAGCGGGATGATGCTGAGAAAGGTCTAGTGCTATGACAAGTGACAATCCAAATAGGGGGTAATCAGTCTATACAGTACCTCAAAAGAGACATAAAGAGACCGACCTTGTAGCCACGTCCCGTTGCTTGGCCAGCTTCGAAGTACTTCAACTTGGGTCGCCAAGTGACCGGCCCAGCCCAGGTCTCTCATCAGTGTCAGATTTCGGGAGATCAAGAGCCGCCAAAAAGGCGAGACACTGTTGCAGGATCTGGGATGATCATGGATGATGTGGGTATGGTACATTTATGGATGCGCCAATTCTGGCGGATGGCTCATGACATCTCGATGTCCCATGTATATCCATGTGTCTCATCATTCATAATTGGCCTGCGGTATATGCTATGTGCATGGCTCCAGACCGGAATCCGCTCACCCGCGGTGGTTGGTCTGTTTCCACCACGTCTACGGGCCGAGGCGGCCGAGATCGCGTCCCAAGCGCGCATCGTGCAGCATCCCCTCACTCCCCACCAGGCCTACCACCGGCCACTCGCGATTGGTCACCGGGTCCAGGTCGAAGCGTGAGACCTCCGGGCGCCAGTGGCCCGGGCTCCAATGGCGCGCGGTCCTTGGGAGGAGTGAGGTTGAGGGTATGCGGATCCGAGAGACCGAGAGATGGTGCGAGATTCGGTCATTCCTGGTTGATCCCGTTGAAGCTCCGTGGGATTCTGTGATTCCTGTTGATCGGATATGATTTTTGACATGATGTATTTGGAGAGGTCCGGTCAGTCTTTAAAAAATAGACCTAAGAAGGGGTAGCGAAGCCAGCAAGAGAGCGCAGGCCCACAACTACGGTGCAGGGAGACACTTTTACTCCTGTCAGCAGGGCAGCTCGGAGTTCTGGATGCGTCTGACATGATACTCTGATACTCCTGCATCTGTTCACAGTTTATGATCGTTCAACATCGAACGAGGGTAGCTCAGAGTTCTGGATGCCTCTGACATGACTCTGGATGCATCCGCCAAAATCAATTAACCTCACCCCAGGCTATGATGAAAACCGCACTTTTGGTCCACTCTCCCCCAAACCACCTAATTATCCCAACCTCTTTCGCAGAAATAACTTTGGTTAGTTTATCGACTAGCTTTGTAACAGAAATTGCAAAAGTGAGGAGACTATACAAATGTCTAAGGAGTTCAAGGGATCTCTTGGGAGCAATGAGTAATCCTTTCTGCTTGGCTGGGACTTTGAGTGTCAGCCAACACATCGCAATTCTTTTGAGATTGAACTACAAGTAACATCCATCATGATACTCCTCCTCCTCCTCCTCATCATCATCATCATCATCATCCATCTCCATCATCATCCATCTCCATCATCATCATCATCATCATCATCATCATCATCATCATCATCACCATCATCCTCATCCTCATCCTCATCCTCCTCCTCCTCCTCATCATCATCATCATCATCATCATCATCATCATCCTCATCCTCATCCTCATCCTCATCAATCCTCATCCTCATCCTCATCCTCATCCTCCTCCTCCTCCTCCTCCTCATCCTCATCCTCATCCTCATCCTCATCCTCATCATCATCATCATCATCATCATCATCATCATCATCATCATCATCATCTCTTGAACCCATGAACTCTCCCAGCCACCCTGGCTGCCGGCCAACACAACCGCGCCTTTTTTGCCAAGGCACAGCACCGCGGAAGCGGGGTCCAGGTGGAAGCGTGCACTTTCCGGGCCGTGGAGCACACTCTGCGGACCCTCCTGAAGTGGATTAAAGCACCCCGGCGGCGGGAAGACGTGGGTCATGGACGGGCCAAAGTGTTGGCCAACGGATTGGCAATTCCAATATAGACTCTTGGATTATTAGACATGTTGTGAAATCTACTCGCCCATCCTGTCCGGCAGAAACAGGCATTTTGCACATCTTTCACATGAACTATATATACGCTATATACAGGATCCAGGATACAGTAATCGAATGATCGAGGAGAACAAGGAAAGCGTCGATCTCTTTCTTATGATTTGACAGCTCCGGACACTTTCCAAAAAAGGTCAATCAATCTATTTTTTTGGTGTGTGTGTGTGTGTGACAAGCGATGTCCCATGAAATCTGCAGAAAGGACTGCGTTGCTTGGAACTTCTTATGCCAAGTCTCCAAGTACATTTGCCCCTCCAGCGGCACAAAGACCGCCTCGGCGTTTTGCACCCGGGAGCCTGCTGTCTTTACCCGGTTGCAGCCCACCAAATCAAGGACCATCAATTAGGAGGTGACGGTGTACAGGAACATCTTTCTGAATCATCCTAAATCCTGGCTTTCTCACCATTTCGTGAACTGTACGATTGCCGAGGCACCCCAGTGCGGCCCGGCACTGGACTGCCGCTGTGCTGGCTACGCCCAAGGACGTCCCGTTGCGTCCGCGGTGTGGCTGTCTGGCCCAGGCGCGTGCGGTTTTGGGGGTCTTGAAAGGAAAAGGGACCAGTGTTTTCCTATGAGGGAGTCTGCTTCGACCCATCCTGCAAGCTGTGCTTTGGAACACCAAAGTTCAGTTGCGTTACTTCTCCTTCCTCTCCCTGAAAGCTTCCTTGTTGTACGGGAGTGCCACAGCAACTCAACTGTCGCTGCCTCACTGGGTGCCGTTTGCTTTAGAGGTGAGGAAGTTGTGAGGGAGCAAAGTTCGCAGTCAAAAAACACATCCCTTCGAAGACCTTCCAGACCTGATGGTCATGGATTGATCTTCAAACACCATCAAACACCAGTTTTCTCTTGGAAGACATCCTGCACCACCCCAACAACCTTGGGTCCTATTGACAGCATTTGGGGTGCTTGCTTCGGTGCCGCAGCACATCTTCCCTATTCTGCACCCGCACCCGTGTGGCTGATGGCGCCTGGGATGCGGGCGGCGTGACTTTCTGGGACTTCTCGCGCTGCTCACGGCGCTCCTCAGTGCTGCACGCGTAGTGCTGCACTCAGTACGTGTGATGCCAAAAGGAAGGATTGTGATCTTGGACTTAGCTATTGTTCTGATCTGGCCGTCCGCAAGGAGGGAAACCGTGGAGAATGGGTCAGTCTTTGGGTCGTTCGAACCTCAGGATCAAGATCTCTTTCAAAACCTCTGGCAATTGGATGTAGAGAGGGTAGAACAAAAATAGACCTGCAGCAAACTAGGTCGTTCCCCTCATCAAAATGCAAAAAAAATATGTGCCAAACCTAGATGCCCGCCATGACAAAGGCCCTGGCCTGCTGTTGTTCAACGGCTTAAAACAGGTTCAGGCGCTCCAACATGTCGCTCCAGCACTTCAGGTCCGGTTGCCCTAAACATCGCTTCCTATTTCCATGACCTCCTCAGCACCCCAAATCCTCCACGATCTTCGTGTGCTCGGCACCCGCCACCCAAAACCCGCCCAACCTGCGCTGGTTCTCGTCCCAGTGGCAATGAGCTGTTGCACCCGACGTTCCAAGGCCAAGCTCCGTGCCTCACCTGCAGGACGAAAAAAACCTTCCGGCCATGGGCCAATGAAGAAGAGGGTGATATGCTTTAAAGGGGTGATGTGTCCGAGCTGATGTGTGTGTGTGTGTTTTTCTGACTTACTTGGATGTGACATAGATGGGAACAATTAAAACAAAAAACCTTGGTTCCAATCTCAACCTTTCCGTACTTCCCTACCATCCATGTCCTGCAAAAAATGCCAGCCTTGCCTTCAGTTCGGCGATTGGCAGCAGCGGCGCGTGGGCTCATCTGGCAACTGTGGATGCATGCAACTGGATCCAATGTGTGTAGCGTGTTCCATCCGAAGGTCGTGCCACTTGGAAGCCGCTTAGGGAACCCATTCAAGGATGGTTGATCCTCAGAACACAATAAGAAGTAAACTTCGATCATCGATAACACTGGGTTGTGTCATGAAATGTCACGGACATCCACTTTTCTTTTGTAGACCCTTTCCCGTCGCGGGTTGCTTTGCTAACACAGTATCCCAATCATGCCCTTGGGCCAAGGCCTTGGGTCAAACATGGGATTAAGATGCATAGCCTAGCGACCATGGTTCATGGGCGCCCAAGCGAAGAATACCCAAAAACAGTGGACATTTGTTGAGGAATGATTCAATTTATACTAAAAGAAAGGGTTCAGGAGCAGGAAAACAGAGCTATCACGAGCACAGTCACTAAGACTTAAGAACAAAACCGACAATGTCAGCCAAGGAGAAACAACTAGTGTTTGACACTTTGGCCATCGAGGCATCCTTCACTTTTTTTCCAACCAGCACTTCAACAAACAGCATTGAAAATCTCTCTAAATATGACTGCCGACCCTGGCCCATGGGAGAACGCGCCAGAGTGGCCAACCGCGCGACGTTAGGGTCCCCAAGGATCCCAAATAAAAGAGAAAGCAACAAACCTGAATTCTCATCACAAAACCCCGTAACATAACATAACAGCATCTGGAAAACATACACCACCACCTCTCCGTCCTTTCATCCAAAATGACAAATGCAAGCGCCTCACACTGGACAACGGAATGGTACATTGCATTACACTGCATGACATGACATTACACTACGTTACGTTGCGTTACGTTGCGTTATGTTACGTTGCATTACATTACATGCATACGCAATTAGATACGTAGATACGTGGATACATCCAACCATCCAGCAATTACATTACGTTGAGTTACATTACACTGCATTGCATTGCATTGCGTTATATTACATTGCGTTAGGTACGTTACATCTTTTGCGTTGGATTTCATTATCAGTGCATACATTACACTACACTACATTATCACGTGGCCCTGGTGGGGGCTGAGGCGGGGGGGCTATAGACTATAGACCTTATGGCCAAGCCTTTTAGAGGGTGACTAAGCTATCAATTAACTATCAGATCAACCTCCTCCCCCCAGGCCCTCCCAAACAACAAATGCACTATTTTTGGTGTGGCAAATTTTTGACAATCCGACGGATGGCGGAGAGATGTTGTTGTTGCAAGACGCAAATTTGCTGCTAAGGTTGGATGGGCTTTACAATAGGGCAAGAGTCAAAGAGTTGAAGTGGACGGAAGGTGTTCTGTTTTCCTACTAACATGCCAAATCCGAAGTCCAACGCGCCAAACAAACACAACAAGAAGTCCAAAGAACTATGAAACCCAGTCCAAGACAACGTGAAAGTCATAAAGCAAAGCCCAAGTCAAAGCCCAAAACTGAAGCCGAAGGCAAAGTCCAAGCCAGAGTCAAAAGGCAAAAGAGAAGTCCGACCACATGTGTGTTGCCATATCCTTTGTGCTGCGTGGTGCTGCATAAGGCCGCCGACCCCTACTTGGAGCAAGCAAGGCAAAGGCACCTAGGCTCTGGCAGCTATGGCTGAGAATCGCGGAGCATCTGCCACACCACTTTGCTTTAGGATGTGTGGGTTGCACGGACAAGTGAATCACCACATGTTCCAAGGGTCCAAATGTCAGAGACCAATGATCCAACACCAACACCTTGTCTTTTGGCTTGCTTTTGCTGTGAACCAGGCCTCAGGCTTTGTGGACCCTACTTGGAGCAAGTCCAAAGATGGCGGCAGCTCCAGTAGTAGGAGTTGGCGGCACCCGGGCGTTGCCCATTCTATATACTTGCAACAACGATATATCTATAGTCATCAAACAGTCTGTCTGGAGCATTATTAGATTGATCTACCTGCCTGAATCTACCCGTCTCCAAGGCAGCCTTCACCTCACCCTATTGAGTCAGTGGTCCAAAGGCTGAGAGTGATGGGTTCGGGGTCCCCATGTCGTCCCCGGCGATCAGCCCCCGCCTGCTTGGGGGACATCTGGCCCAACCGCCTGCACATATTGCCAAACCGCATCAAGCCTTTCGAAAGGATCCAAACAAGAAGTCCTGGCCCACCATCAAGTATATTATCCTACAGCTGAACATCTGCACAAAACTACGGGCGGTCAACCGAGGCTTTCCGGTTTTGACGACCCACAGACATGTCGTTGTACGAGTATATGATCAAAGGCATTGAAGTATTAGCCATTGCAACATTGGCCCATGGCAGTAAAGACCAGGCACGAGGTGGCTTGCCAATGCAGCCGAAGTGTGCAAGATCGAGCAAGCTATTTCTCTGAGCCAACCCTCTCACAAACAAGTTCAGCAAGTTTCTTCCCAAGAGGAAAGCTAGCACCAGAAATTGAATCCAACAAGTCTCACAGCAAATGGCGATGTTCTTAGGTGCAACACCTCACGGCGGCTTGAGCCCCAAACCTACACACCTCCATGCACTTTCTATGAGCCAACAGAGGTTGAAGGACCCTATAGACTATCCCCAGGTACCCCAGGTTACGGGTCCTACAAGGTCACTTAATTTTTTTTTGGAAGACCTCCACTGGCTGTGACAGCCGCCCACTCCAACCCCCAGCAACAGTTCCAACAAAAACCAAGGAGCCGTGGCCCACGCGGAGTTGGACCGGCCGTCCCGGAGTCCTGGGCCGCAGGAGTCCAGGAGTCCGCGAGTCGGAGAAACGCAGTGTCCAAGTAGCAGAACCACACCATATGTACCATACCATACCCGGTTGTACTGGGACCTAGGGTCAGACAGAGTCCAGGCACTGACACCCCTGGATTTGATCCACTCAGTACGGCCCCCTATCCATACCATCATCCCCATGGTTTCGTATTCAAGAAATCTAGGCTCAGCCGCCACTGCACCCGAAACCCATACGATGCGACCGCGACTTGACCGACGCACGGCCCGCGAGGAAAGGCACCTGGGCCGAAGGAGGCTTCCTGGAACGGAGCTGCGCCTGGTAGCTGGGCATGAAAAGACACAAGACCTGAAACAAAGAACTCATCATAACAATACTTGTAAATCAACGGGCTTACCCTGGGGTTCAGGGCTTCCTGGAAGGGATTTTCTTACAGGTAGTTATAAGAACTCCTTGGACCAATCATGTAGCCTGTTGATGAATCACCCATACCAGAATGCTTTTGCATCTCCAGTGGAAGCAATGGGCCAGTGGGATCTTCTTGCTTTGTTTTTGGCGCGAAGCAAACCAGGTGAAGCTTGACGGCGATGGCGACACCCGAGCGGGTTGCGGGTTTTGTACAAATGGCGGAGTTCGCAGAAGCGTCAGAGGAACAACTATCCCATGCCAGCAGGATCAAATACTTGATCAATCACCAAGCTAGTACCAACTTGGTCATATTGGGCAATTGATCAAAGTCTATAGCCAATTGTTGCTCAATCACCTACCTTACGATACCAAAGCACACTCACATAGAAGCCCCCAAGGCATAAGAGAGCTTCTGACAAGACCAACCAAATTTGACACGGACCAGGAAATGCCATGAAATGCTCACCAAAAAACAGTGAGGCTTCCGCGAAACCCGCCACTTCCACCCGAAAAACGAACCCAAACCCACCGAATCCCGCCACCTCCAAGGCCTTTAGCTGCTCCTGGACCAAGGGCTCTTCCAACTGAAGCTTCCGCAGACTGGGCCGCCGACCGTCGGTCCCACGGGCGTTTGGCTCGGTCGCGACCCGGTGGGTTTCGCAACCCGCTGGGAGACGTTGACTCCACTTGCGAGTTTCCGAAGGTGGAGTGTCCATGAGTTTCCCCAAAAAAGGAGGGGAGCAAGATGGAGCAAGTAAAAGCACGTGGTGAGAAACGTCAGAGAAGAACATCCTACAGTGTATACAGATGTATACAGTATATCTATCTGGCGGAAATTGGTAGAAGTTGGACACTTCCACCTGGAACAACATTCCTCTTTTAGGTCTTGGTGTGATCTGCATTGTAGGGAAGGTGTATCTGTTCTGTCCAAAAATATCCTCATATGTTCGGGGAGAACTGCCTCTGAAAAGCTCCTGACAAGGCCTGCAGAACAGAAAAGCTAACAAAATCTGTCCCCGATGATCGTTTCAACATCCAAATCAGCCAGTTTGTTTGTCTCTATCCCCAAATTGTTTCCCTGGTGCGTTCCTTTCCTCAGCATGACAGAATTGTCTGGACACACCCACCTGGCCAACCGCAGGAGCCACCGGAGACGGAGCACGGCCTATCAAACCTATCAAGGCCTAATTGCATGGGCTCATCGTCTTCGCCGGGCAGCTCATCGTCCAACAAGGCCAGCTGCTGTTTGATGAAACGCTCGTAAGGATCGTCTTGCTCTAAAGCAAAGCGGAACTGAGTGGCTTCCGCAGCTTCCTGAAGATGGCGTCAAAAGGAGATGGTGTATTTGATGGTATTTGTATGGGGGGGGCCAGTGCTTTGGGCGGGGATCAAACACCACATTAGAAGAAACACATCAAGCAAAACATGGTTCTAGCCCCTAGTCGTACTAGCCTTGCTGCATGAGTTTCATTGACCAAGTGGTCAATCAAACTCAGCAAGGCAGCAAGGCTAGCACTACCACGGACTATTTTAGTGTGCCGGTTTGCATTCCCGATCCCCCAACCACTTGTCCCACCCAACCAAAAACCGCTACCCCGCTGCCTGGACGTTTTGGGAGAGGAATGGTGCTGCCAGCATCAGGGATAATATACTATTATGTAAATAATGGAAATCCGTGCCACCTGACACAAAGAGATTTGGTATTAAAAGGATTCAAGACCTTTTCACCCTGAGCGACATCGGGCTCCAGTCCTGTCAACTGAAGATCTTACTTCTTGATATCAATCCTTGTGTCTAAAAATCTGGTCCACACCTGTTGAGGAGGCGTGTTTGGCGTTTTCTGCTCATTTTAGAGAAGCTTTCACAGAGTTGAACCTGATACTGGCCACAGGGCCACAGGGCCAGGTGAGACACCTCCAACCCACCGGACACGGAGACACCGTCTCTTCGCCTCCGCGGGCAGCGGGGCAATGCGCCCAGCCGTCTGCAGAGCGAGCTCCGGGGACTCGGGAAGCTCCAGCACCTCCTGACCTCGCCACGCGGCGAAAGCGGCGCTCGCTCGTGGGGTGGACGGAAAGGCACTGGTTCAGTGGAGTTGGTTGGTTGTGGACATGGGACCGGGCGATTTGCTTTCGGTTCGGTGGTTTGGAGGGATTGAACATTATTGTTTTGGCATCTGGTCGTTTTGAAAAGAATCAAACACTTCATGACATTCCACTGACACTTCAAAGTGAGAAGTCATAGCCACAGCTACTGTAGTGACTTTCTTCAGCCCCAAAGAATGAAATGGTGAAGCTATGGAGATTGACCATGTGTTTGCTGATCACGATGTCCGGTACGACTTTCACACGATGGTCGGTCAACAATGACCTGTTTCACTAAAGGACAAGAGAATCTTGGTGAGCAACCATTCCAGGATTTTGCCACTGTGCAAAGCTTCTGCCGTTTCTTTTCACCTATTTATTTGAAGGAAAACAAACAACAAAAACTCTGCGTAATGGCTAAGAGGCCCGTAGAATTGGTGTGTACCCGCGTTCGTCCCCAACCAAACCAGCACATGGGATATCATGCCTTTTGAATCCTTTTGATCATTCCAACTTCTCGTGATAGAATATATTTTGGGCAGCAGAAATCACAGCCTTGAAGTACGTATGACGGCATCATATGGCATCCTAATTTCAAGCGTTTGCGAAGAAGCACATGGCATTGGTGAGTGTTCCTTCAAAGCGTCCCCCTTTCCAGGACAACCACAAACTGCAACACTATTATATCAAATTATCTTATCTTAAATTCAAGTCCTTACATAAAAGGCAGATTCTATACTTGCAATGAAAAATCATCTAACTAGGCTGGCACATGGCTGAGAAGGTGTAAAACAAAAACTGCCATGCATGCCCGCAGCTTGATCATTGCAGGCAATGCCAATCTACTCAGATTTACTCCATTGGGACAACCATTGGGAGCGCTACTTGAAGGGCAAGTATACCCTGGAAGAGTCTCGAGCGTTCTGACAACAATGTTAGTTGTAAAGGAAAATAGATGAACATAATTAGTATTCCAAAGGTCCATGTTCAGTTTCCATGAGGTCCCTTCCGGGTGTAAAAACCCACCACACCGACCACGCCTGGCGTGCTTGGAGGTGCTTTCCCCGGCGAGGGGAGCCGTCCAGCGCTCGCCGCGCTCGCCGCGCCGACTCCGGCGCTCGCCACTCCCGCGCCCGCCATGCCATGGTCACAGATGTCCAGTGTGGCGGCGGTCCAGAATTCCTATGTAAAAATTACATATATAAATTATATGCATGTCATATGCATGTATGTTTTTCCATTGAAAACAAAAAAAGGCTTTCGAGGATTTTGGGTGCAAATTGGACGCTCACTTGGGTGGGACTCCCATTTCCAAAAATGCAAAAACAACGTCTTGCAATGTCCTTCAGTGGTGTTTAATGGATTGAGACATGTCGGCAGTTGGTTTTTGTGGCATGTTGCCAGTGAATATGTTGCAAGGCAAAGTATGCCGCATGCGTTTGCAAGTTGCTTGTTTGTTTGGAGCACCCCTTCGTAGTTGTGCTGTGCTCATAGTTCCACTTGTTCCTTGTCATGAAGCCGCCATTAAGGCTCGAGGTGAAGGAGTCAAGAAGAAATTGGAAGCATGGAGAAATCCCCTATGTTTAATCAATGCTTTATCTGACACTTTGCTCAACAGGTGTATTGAATGTGCCACATATAGTCTGACTCTCGCCTAGTCCTACTCAAAAGGTAGTTAGACTGGCCTCGAACCTGCGCCAAATGCCCTCTCAAAAGCAGCTGGGAGCCCTCACTCAATTATCAAATGTCTCACCTCCTTTCGGAAGCTTTGACACAACATTACCCAACAATCATCCTCGAGCACAAGTCCCCACAGCTTTGGCGTCAGGTGACTTCATGTTACTTCATGGGGAGTGCATAGGACGGAACATTCGTTTTGCACCCCACCGCTTTAAGCCCGCCATAGCCGCCCCCCCAAGAGACGCCTGACAGCCTGTTCCGGCCACGCATAACGCCGCAGGTTTTGAGCACGAGCATGACCAAAACTCGAATAAGGCAACCACATCACGGTGGCCATCGTCACACCCGGAGGACGATTCCCTCGAATGGCGGAATCTTCGCCTCGATTCCCAGTGGAGCCTTGGAGCTGAGGCCACCCTTCGCCACCAAATCGTTTGTGGCGAGATTGGAGAGATCAGCTAAACACCTACTATGGCCCAAGACCTTCCTATCCATGGCCAACACCGGCATGGCGCACGCATCGGCGTCCGTCCGGATCTCGAAGCTACAACTGAAAGCTTGGATTTGACCGGACAAGAACTCATTTTTCTCAGGGTGTGCTGGGGACGGTCTGCAACTGGTTGAAGCTATTCAGCTGCTTCTTGAAGCTGGTTCTTTTATACCTGATTCAACCTGTCTGATCATTCATGGTCTTTCTCCGGGCTTCAGCTCCCTCCGCTGAAAATCCACACACACCGCTCACAGCGGATATGATCCAACCTGAGAGAGTCTGGCAGGAATCGTGGACCGTGGACAGCGCGTTTTCAGCGTGTTTTGACGCTAATCGTTTCGAGGAGTCTGCACCCTTGGAGTAGTTCCGAAAGAGTCTGCACCTGTTGGAAGGTTATCCTATTCTACTCGATCTCTCCGATCCCACCAAAGGAAGAGTCTGCACCTGTTGGAAGAGTCCTACTGTTGCAACACCAAATGTCCCTATCCTACTCTACCAACATGGGCCTTTGATGGGTCCTTCCTTCCACTTGTCCCACCAGCGAGGAAGTCTAAGGTCTTCCGGTCCTGAAGAGGAGTGATTTGGCAGGAAAGGTATGTAGCGCAAGTCTGATTGATCACATTGATCAAGAACCATGACTTAAGATTGGAGAGCTTGAGATAGGACAAGCCGTGCTCATGATCAGGAAGCTGGAGAGTCATCAGGAGAGTCAATGATCATAAGGATTTAGATGTAATTACTTCTGTCAGGAGGATGGCATACGTCACATACGGAACAGGTTGTGCCCGTCTCGCAAGGTGATATTGAGATGGTGGAATCCACGAACGAGCATGTGTCGCGTTCTCCTTTTTGTTTGTTCCTTCGTGCCGGTTTGGGTGGTCCGTGGTCCATTGGGATCACTATTACGAACATGAAATCTACGCACCTGAACCAATTTGGTAACCAATGAAATCAGTGGCCGAGTTCTGGTCAGAACGAACCGAAACGGTTCTGGTCAGTGGACCTGCCAGTCATCCCGCCACCCGTCGGAAGACGGATGCCGCTTTTTTCATGTGCGATCAAACACGTCAGAAGTTCCTTCTTCCGGGGGACACGTGAAGGACATCATGGTCCTTCCATCATGGCCTTCCTTCAGTGGTGGATGAAGGACATCGATCGGAAGACAGTGATGGGCTTCGCATCTCCCTACACACTCGCCACAGCTGGGCCACATCACCGACCCCAAATCGTTTGCAGCTCTTCGGCGATCGGAGGGATGAGTTCACCTGAAGAAGCCCCATGCATCCCACTTAAATGATCATATCAGGAACCATGGGCGGCACAATGTTACAAGTTACAAGTATAGTTATATATATATACAAGTATAATCAAGTATATAGTTACAAGTTGTTACATATAGTTACATCATAGTTGCATCTAGTTTCCAATTCCACAGTGGTAGCTTGATCCACATGTTTTCTTTCTTTCGCTGGACCATCATTTGACTCGTGTGGCGCGTGTTTTGCAGAGACCGAAGAAAGGATCTGACAACGGATCTGCCACACACGCCGGTGGCAGAATCGTGTCACATCAAATCATATCAAATCTTTGGAGGTGGGATTCAATGACTAGCCATACTGAGTCTGAGGTGTTCTTTTTTCTTTCCGAGTCTGAGGTTCAAACATGTTCAAACCATCGATACAGAAGACCACAGCTTGAGCACGCTTGTTCAGGCCCGTGCATTGAAATCATTGGTGCACTCTCAGCTGGAGTGGTTCCCCAAACACCGCCTGAACACGGACATCGACCGCCCGAGCACCCTGCAGAAACCTGGCCCTGAAAGAGCTCGGTTACCTGAGCAGCACGACCGCCCGAGCTCGGCCGATCAAGTAAATGAAAGGATTTAGTCCATAGAGGATCAAAAAAGAAAATTTTAAACACATTTGATGTGATGGAATTTCAGGAAAACCGGTCGATTCGTCGGTTCAATGTATTCTTGAAATATGGTGCTCCATATCGATGTGCATGATTCTTGCATGTCAACACTGCAAACGGATTCAGGCACTTTCCAACGTCAATCCCGCCCCGATGACCTGACGTTCTAACCGAACCGCCAATCCCAAGTTTAGCATGTTTCCACCCATCCAAGCAGGGCAAAACAAAACCAATCAAACACAATTTAAAGAAACACCATCAATCCAAACATGTCTTCCGATATCAATGATTCCCAATCTGTCAACGTGACCTCTTCCATGACCGGTCCAAAACCTGGACGGTGAGACGACCCCAACGCCGACGGTGAGACGGCCCCAGACCTGGCATAGACATTCCCAGTGGCTTGGACCTGCGGTGGGTGTTCCAGGGCGGTTCTCTCTGTCTGCCCAAGTTTGGCCGTCTTCAAAGCTGCTTGACTTGATGGTGTGTGTTTCCTTTTCTCAGTGTCAGGGAGTGTACCATGGAGTTTGAACGAGATCTGGATGCCCAAACGTCAAACTTGAAAATAAGTTCAAATCATGGGTATACTTTATGGTACTTTGTTCAATGGTATTGATGGAAACAATCGATGAAGTCCACACGGTATGAAGTCGCCCCAGCCTTGGAAGCTGGCTGGTCCTCATGTGCGTCTGCTGACCTCTTCCAACCCCCATTCTCGCCCTGGCCAGAACGCGCGACTGAGCATTATTCATAGCGTTTCTCGGTTCGCGAGAGACGTTGGCACGCTTGGTGGCGAAATCACTGTTGAATTACGAAACGGAGGAAGGAAGGAATGGCCCCACGTTGAAAAACAGCTACAGTATTTGTTCTTCACCTGGGAAAGCAACATAGCGTTGTAAGAATGTGTCCGTACTTTCAATCTGTTTCCAGAGCTTGAACATGCATACTTTCCATACGAATGATCAAATTTGGTGGGCAAACTATCCCAGAATGTCCCAATTGGACACAACTTCTTATGATTTGACTTGACTGATTAATTTTGACAATCCCCCTTGCTTGATATATTCAGTTGACCTTTTGCACTTTATGTCCAAGACATCAGCATCTGAAAAAGCAACAAATAAGGGGAATTTGTGATTAACAACATTTCATGTTGGTCATGCAAACGCCTGGCAGCTGATGCTCCACTCCCAGCGTTGTTTTGCCCCCGTGTTGGTGGCTCTGATCCAGATCCTGAGATCGTGAGAGCTCTGGCTATCCAATACCAGGGGTCAACTCAATGAGAGACACCTCAAATCCCAGCTGTATGTACAGCTGTACTCCCCCTCTGCCCCCCTCAGAACACCACCGGACCTTCCGCCAGGTGGACACACTTCCGTCGGCTCGGACGAATCGGACACATCAGGTGACGTGTCGCGGCTTCGCGGCGCTTCGCGGCGTCGCGGGTCACGGCGCCGCGACCGCGCCTTGTCGTTCTTCCACCAGTCCTGGCTGACTGGGCCAAGGTGGCTGACGGGTCCAAGCTGACTCCGCGAGCAGGTCCCTAGACCCCACTCCTGGAGTAGTGTAAAAGAGCATGCAGTGGGGTCTTGCAAGATAGGAAACGGCCCAACATGGAAAATATTGGAGGTAAACTTCTTGGCTGCCTGGCCATTGGCAGCCATGGCACCAGAGTCTGGTCTGATTTTGGTCAAGGACTGGAGTGTTGCAGGGTTCCAGGCCAAACATAGATGTCCGAACTCGAGCAGTCACAAATAGAGTTCACCCTTTCGGTGACTGCTTTTGAATGAGAGAGTGGCAGTCGTAAAATGTATGTTTAAAAACAACATATATTAGACTATATTAGTAGCCCGACCACTATCTTTACCACCACGCTTTGCAAGACTCCCCCTTGAGCCAAGCTCCCTATTTTGTTTTTTGCTGGCGACACGGCAGGAGTTAATTTATGCCTTCCTCTAGGACCAGCCCTTGCAGTTTCTTTGCTTTGTGTGTTCCCCTGCCTTCAGTCTAGCTCCCCTTCGCATTATTTGATCACGACACGTTGCTCCCCTTTACA